GAGCACACTCACCAGTGGTTCAGAGATGTTCAAAAGCTCTGTGCCTCTCAGGGTTTTCATGATGCTTAGTTTAAGAGACTTTTCTCCCTTGGCCTCTCACCTGCTTACACTAACCCCCCATTTGAGCTTAAAAGAGAAATGATTACATGAGGTTCTCCAACTTGAGCTTGTATCAGAGTCACCTGGAAGTCTTTTTCAAACTTAGATGGCTGAGCTCCACCCCTGGAGTTTGTGATTCAGTGAGTTTGGGGTGGTCCTGAAACTTCACACTCCCAGGTGATGCTGATATTGCCGGCCCTGAGTCCACGCAGGGAGAGCCTGAGAGGGCGTGATTGGGAGCCTGAACTTCAGCACTGGGCAGCCCTGGGTTTGAGCCCCTGCCCCACCACCCTGAGTAAGTGACTCAACCTCTTCAAGCCTCAGGTTTCTCATTTGTAAAATCAAGATAATAATAATAATAACCCCTAGTGTCTAAGGCGGTGCTCATTAAAATGTAATATTATTGTATATTAAACATAACATCCTCAATTTCTGGTATTCACCAATTCTCAGCACATGTTCTGACCAGAGGAGTAAAAAGAGATTAATTTCTTTCCATTTTTTTAAAGCTGGTGGCTTAAAAGGAAATAGAAAGTAAGTGAGGCTCAGGGAATGTGTTTAACTTGGCATAAGACTACAGAAATTGTTTGATTTCTTAGTAATTTCTGTGAAATGGGCCAAATGGCTCTTCTCTCTTTCTCTAAGTCTCCCAGACCAACTGGACAAATGGGTGCTTTAAAAAGACTTCCTTGGCCAAGCGTGGTGGCTCATACCTGTAATACTAGCACTCTGGGAGGCCAAGGTGGGCGGATTGTTCGAGGTCAGGAGTTCAAAACCAGCCTGACCAAGAGCGAGACCCCGTCTCTACTATAAATAGAAAGAAATTAATTGGCCAACTAATATATATAGAAAAAATGAGCCGGGCATGGTGGCGCATGTCTCAGCTACTCAGGAGGCTGAGGCAGGAGGATTGCTTGAGCCCAGGAGATTGAGGTTGCTGTGAGCTAGGCTGATGCCACGGCACTTACTCTAGCCTGGGCAACAAAGCGAGACTCTGTCTCAATAAATAAATAAATAAATATAAAAAGACTTCCTCGATGGTATGACACAGTTGATGAAAATTCATTCCTGACTTGAAGCCTCTTTCAGTGACAGTTCTTTGCTTCTCTCCAAACCCTACATGTCCAGACAGCACTTTCCTCCTCACTGTAGCCTAGATGAACATCTCCCTTTTCTGATTTATCTCTGCTACCTAATTGCTACTTAACTATAAACAGCTTGCCTTGAAACTTACCTGCCTAATGAGCACTGTCTCTGTGTCTCTCCCCTCCAATTAGAGTAAGCATTCTTTGAGGGAATGAACTATGCTTTCCATTTCTTTTGGATTCCCCCTGAGTGCCTGGCATCATTCTATGAACAGTCGATAGAAAAATGTTGATGAAATGTATGTTATCTAGATTGCATAGAATTAATATGAAATCTTTAAGCAGGACATGGGGAAATAATTTCTTGTGTCCTCATACTTACAATTTAGGTCTCTTCATCTCTCGGGTTATTGGTGCCTATATGACAGGCTGGTCACTGACACACTCCTAACCACTCAAGCCAACTGCTTACAGAAGGGTAATTCCCAGGGTGAATCTACATGTAACACCTTCTTCTGATATTATATTAATGAAATTATTTTGGGGGATCACTATCTTATGAAAATGAAACCTGTCTGGCTTTCGATCATCATCATATCACTTTGGGACTGAAATTCTAAAAGCATTATGCTGGGTGAGTTACCCAGCCTCCTCAATTTAAATGGACAAACATTAAACTCTTAAAATAATAAAACCCCTAGAGTAATAGGGAGTGGAGCAGAAAGCAGGGAGTTGGGAAACGAGATGAAGGCTTCCAGTCCTGTGTTGCTCATTTGTGTCCCATAAAATAAATAATGGGCCAGTTGGAGTACATGTGGTTTAACTTGCATTCCCTCTTCTTTCTCAAATATGCCTTATCTTAACAGAACAGTGATTCTACCCAAGATAGGTTTCCCTGGGGAGAATCTAGGGAGACAGCCTTAACCACAGGGGTCCATGGAGTGTCCACTAAGTCTAAACTCATGCAATATTCTGGATGAGACTCCTTGTTGCATTTTTTTAAAGCTAAGATTGGTCGCCTCAGGGAAACCAGTATTGTGACTCTTTGAATTATATGTCCTGCTCACTCTTTATCACCACACTCTCAGAGAGGACTTGGTATACTGATTCCATTTCACTTCCAGTTATGAAGAATGTCTCTGATCAGCCGGGGGCGTGGTCCCCAAAGGAGACAGCTGGGTAGAGGTGATGGGATTGGCAAGAGGCAGCTTGACTCCCCTACGATGCTGTTGAGTGTTCAGGTTGCATCAGCGACTCTAGACTGTGAGTTGCCAACACAAATTCGCAGATGGTGTCACAAATAATGTGTTGCTGAGCACATGGGACAGCCCTGGTGAGTGATTTACTCTTTATATACTGAAGAGGAATCAAAGACCTCCTGAAACACTCTCAGGTATTCTAATGTGCTTTCACTCCTATGGGAGTCAAAGTTGAATGTAGCAAGTAGAACATGATTTTAAAAGCCCAAGAAACATTGTGTTAGACATGTGTATCCTTTCCCTGTGGTTTCCATGAGCATAGTATATCAAACAAGACCTAAGCCTGGGGAATTCTGCTCTGCCATCTACCAGCCATGTGGACTCAGCAAAGCCATTTAACTTCGTAGAATCTTGGATTTCTCATCTTAAAATTAGGAAAATAAGATCTAGTTCAGAGTTCTGAGGATTAAATAGGATGGAGCATGTGCCTATACATAGTTAGTGATCAAATGTTAGCAGCTTATTACTTATTAATATATACCAGATGCTTAGCAATGGGCCTAGCACATAGTAACTGCCCTAATAATTCTTACTGCCATTTTTATTATTAATTTTCTAGAAACTTGACAAATAGAACATAATTCTGACAATCTCAGACCTCATGTTGACAGTTTTATTTCCTGTCTCCTCTGTGGGTGGCTCCTGAAATACCAAAAAAGTCACTAGAAATGTTCCTTTAGTGGATAAATAAATTTTTCTTTTAAACTTCCTTTATTCCTTCTTATGTGTTTATCGCAGGACTTCTCCTTTATCTTCTCCTTTAGATGTGCCTAACAGAATTTAGGTAGAGCACTGTGCTTTTCCAATAGATGCTACTATTTGAACTTCACATTTGTCTATTTTTGCTGGAATTTGTTGCTTTGAGACACCGTGAAATTGGTACAATTTATTTACTTGAAGCAAAGGATATCTGTTTTGCCCCCCCTTTGTCCCTACCATCTAGGGCAGAGGTCCCCAACCTATGGTGAGTTGTATAATGATTTCATTATATATTATAGTGTAATAATAATAGAAATAAAGTGCACAATAAATGTAATATACCTGAATCATTCTGAAACCATTGCCACCCTCTCTAATCCATGGAAAAATTGTCTTCCATGAAAATGGTCCCTGGTGCCAAAAAGGTTGGGGACTGTTGCCCTAGGGCTTAACTACTATGGTAATGCTGAATGTTCTTAAAAATCATAAAAGCTAAAATTTATTGAGTGTTCTTGACGTGCCAAGCATGAGAGTAAGTGCATTCCATGCGGGAGCTATTTTAATCTTCAGAGAGCCACCATGTACATTTGGTAGTTACTGCTGAATCCACACATCAGAAAACTAAGGTTGAAGAACCTATTAAATGCATTGCCTTGAGCAAGTGGCAGAGCTAGGTCTCAAACTCATATCTGTTAGATTCCAGAACCCATGAACTTAACTGTTGCGAAGTCACTCTTTAAAATTTTGTTGGGAATCTTCGTGTGCCCACTCTGTGGTTCAACTGGCATTCCCAATACCAAGCTTTACTCTCCTTTACAGTAAGCTCCTTGAAAGCAGAAACCACGTCTCACTCATCCTTGTATTCTCCTTGCTCCTTATGATGTGCTTAGTACATGATGAATTTGTTTAAAAAGATCAATGAACATGCAGTGAGTGATTTACAGCATCCATCATTGTTGGTTGTACATTATAATTATTGCAAATGAGTTTTGAAAGCAAGTTTCTACCATTCTTTTGGCAGATGCAGATGTAGACCATGAAAATAGTCCCCAAGTTCTCAGATCATAGAGCAATATCTATACCCAAACCCCTCAAGTGGAAAGAAGGAAAATTTGGAGTTGTCTATCCTCTTGATGCCTCAAATTTCATTTCCAAGGCAGTGGTTGATTAACTCTCAAATCATACCATGTGTCCAGTGTCCAGTAATGGGCAATATCTGATGTGTGAATGAATTTAATTGTGGGCCCAGATGTTACTTTCAGGAGCAATTTGCCTGTGATTTGAGAAGGTGGTCCCACACAGATGAACTGGGAAGGAGAAAATTAGAATGATGTGTTGAAAGCAGTCATGGCCAGGGAAAAGAGTAGCTGAACTATTTTCTGCCAGGGAGGCAGGATGTTGGATTGGATTTGAAAGAAAAGCATACAGCCTGTGTTCCTTTTCTAAACGTCTATGTTAGCCAGACCCTCACCTCATAGGACATTAGGAAAGAACCAATATGAGTCATTCCAGAAGGAAGTGGTTGTGTTCTGTCTTGAGTGAAAGAACTTTGAAGTTAAGGTCTCCCTCAAATTTTGCCCCAGCAATGCTAAAAATGTTAAGTTGTTGAACTGTAGACATTTGATCCTAGTTTTTGTTATTTTATTTATGATGGTGACAATATTGTTGCTGTATCAGGATTCTTTTTGTTGCAAATGACATAACTCAAACTGCTGTGAGTGGTAAAACAAACAAGAAGCTTTTGATAAAGATTATGTAATGAAATAGACCAAGGTAAAAATGACTTTACCTAATACCTGATCCAGGGCTCAAATGACATTACCAGGGCCCTGTTCCTCTCTACCCATTTCCCTGTTACCTGACCCCTGGTGCAACCTCTCTTGTCAGGCTTCACATACTCATGGAATAGCTTCAGTCCCAGAGCCTACATTCTATTCTGTCTGATTCACTTCTCAAAAGGAAAAACCAACCACCAGCACTTCCAGCCAAAGTCCCACGATCTGATTGGGTCATTGGCCCCTCTCTAAGCCAATCACCATGGTGGTGGTGGTGGGGATTGTGACACAGTGACTACTTATGCCTGGTACACGTGCTTTGCCCCAAAGTCCATGAGTTCAGAGTTAACTAACACACATCTCCACGATCAGTATGAACACCCACTACTGTTGCCATGTGTGGAGAGCTATGTGTCAGGCATTACCTAATTATATCCCCACAGTCTGTCATTCATTCATTCAGAAAACATACTGAGATCCTCCCATGACAAGCAAAACCAAACATGGTCTCTACTTACAGTTTAAAAAGGAAACTTTTTATCAGGTAAGTATTAGCATCTACATTTTACAGATGGGACAATTAAAGCGTCCTAATCAGTTCCCTACAGCATTACAATTACAGTTGACCCTTGAACAATGACACAGGGGTTAAAGTGGCTGACTTCTGCACAGTCAAAAATCCACATATAACTTTTGACTTTTCAAAAAATTAACTACTAATAGGCTACTGGTGACAAGAAGCCTTACTGATAACATAGTCTATTAACATGTATTTTGTGGGTTATGTGTGTCGTATACTGTATTCTTATAATAAAGTAAAAGAGAGAAAAGGTTACTAAGAAAATCATCAGGAAGAGAAAATATATTTATTATTCATTAAGTGGAAGTGGATCATCATAAAAGTCTTCATCCTTGTTGCCATCACATTGAGTAGGCTGAGGAGGAAGAGGAGAAAGATGAGGAGTTGCTCTTGCAATCTCAAAGGGGGCAGAGGCAGAAGAAAAGTCATGTGTAAGTGGACACAGACTGCCAAAACCTGTGGTTGTTCAAGGGTCAATTGTATTAAGTGAAAAACAAAGATACAAATCCAAATCCAAATCCAAATCTCAGTTCCTGTAGCCTTACTTCTTCCTCCTTAGCACTTACTACACTACCTTAGCTACTGCACTTGTCAAAAATGCTCTACCTTGGGGCATAATCTGCCCTAAACTAGTATATGTTTATCTGTGACCAGGAACCCCCATCATAAAAATTATCTCATGATTAAGAGAGGGATAGAATTTGAAAGGTCTAAGAAACATGAATCCTTCCACTCAACCCCATACTGATGAGTCAATATGAAATTCTTTTGGATTTTTAGTGTTAAGTGCCCACTAACTGGCCAACTAATTTTTATGAATTTGCTTTCATTCAAAATTATTTCTCCTCAATGCTTTATGAAGAACAACCCATTTGGTTCCAGATATTCGGTCCTGTAAGAGCATCTTTGCAATTCCTTTGGCAAGGGCATCATCGTCAATCCTGTCTGGCTTCCAGGAGTTCAACAGGCCATTTTAATTCCACCCATAAAGAAACCAAAGTTCAGAGAGATTAAGTGACTTGCCCAAAGTCACTCAGCAAATAAGAGACGAAATAGGAGCTTAAACCTCCTATTCATTTTAACTCCTAAACTGATGTTTCTCAAACTTCTGTCATCCTTTACTATTTTTTGTTCATATCCTTACCAATTTTACTTACATTCCTACTCCAGTCTCAGTCTAAGCAACGATTTTTGTCAGTTGGTGTTATTGAGTATATATTTTTCTAAAGCACATTCAAATAAATATAAGACCATCCACAACTTAAAATTCCATCCATGAATCCCCACAAAACATTTCACATACCATCAGCAGTAGTGTCTGACACGTAAAAAAAACATGTTCTATGTGGAGTTATTGCCTCACCAGAGAGATGGCCAGTTTGAGAACCAAGGATCAGGCTTATAAGCAGGCAATTTCCATGGGAAGTTCCCCCTTACCCCTTCCAGGAAAAAGGACATAGAGGTATCCGCTGAAAGGGGACATGATCATTTTCAGTTCCTTCCTGTTCCTTCCAGCGCTGGCCTCTCCAATCACAATCACACCCCAGTGCTGAGCTCACTTCCTGTCTTTGCTTGGGAGTGAGACACACCTGCTATTTAAAGGTTAACCCAACTTTTTGAGCCCCTCTAATACTTGATAACTTTTATTGTTTTGCAACTTGTGCGAGCTTTTGAGGTAAACATCTTTAGTGGCTTATCAAACTGTGTTATTGTCCAAGTCGAGAAATATCAGTTTTGGAGAGCGACTCCAACAATTTTCACAAAGCTATCGCCACCTTCACTTTATTTTGTTATAATTATGTTTGGATCCCCAGAAGTTTTCCTACTGAGTATTGAAGTTCTGCTACCCTCATAAGCCACTTAAGGATGAAATTCAGATCCCCAAGTGTGTTTTTCTCTCTAGCTACTTGGAGGGAAGGATTAGGTAAAGTACCTAATACCTCTCTGTTTTGACATGGGGAATGGGAGAAAGAGAAAAGACCCATTGTGTTTGAACACATTCCTTCACAAAGATTCAAGCTCTTAGAGGCGGCTCATTTGTTTCACCATTTAAAAACAAAATTAAGGAAGTCTGTGTTTGTCCTCATAGCTATTCTTGGCTGCCATGATGCACAGGGAGATTGGGGATATTGAACGCTAGCATGCCTTCTTTAGGGAAAGAGGTTGCACCTTCATGTTTTTGTATTTTAGTCTTCCTCATGAGAGAATCCATCAAATTGCAAAATAGCATGATTTTCCACCAAGTCCACTGAGTGACTTTGGGCAAGTCACTTAATCTCTCTGAACTTTGGTTTCTTTATGGGTGGAATTAAAATGGCCTGTTGAACTCCTGGAAGCCAGACAGGATTGACTATGATGCCCTTGCCAAAGGAATTGCAAAGATGCTCTTACAGGACCGACTATCTGGAACCCAATGGGTTGTTCTTCATAAAGCATTGAGGAGAAATAATTTTGAATGAAAGCAAATTCATAAAAATTAGTTGGCCAGTTTGTGGGCACTTAATACTAAAAATCCAAGTTAAATCCTTGGGAGTTAACCAAGTTACTTATTGCTGTTGTTAACTCTAGACAGGGTTTAGATAGTTTCTCTTGTTCTAATCCTCACATCTGTTGCATGCTCGAATCACCTGAGGTGTGTTTAACACATACCAGTGCCCAGTCCACAGACTGGCTGCTCAGATCAGGATCTCTGAGAATGAAATCCAGGCATCTTTTTGAAAGTTCACCAAGCAACTCTAGTATGCACACTGGGCTAACAGCTTCTCTGCCACATGCCTCTGGTGTCAAGAGTCCCTATGGTGTCATTCCTAGATGCACAGTCAGGCAGGTCCGTGTTAGATTTCTGCTCCATTAACTAGCTAGGACCTAGGGCTACTTATTTAGCTAATCTAAGCCTCAAGTCTCCATCTCCAAAATAGGGATGATAATGGCTCCCACCTTACAGGATTGTTTTGAGGTTCCGGATGATGATGGCTGGGTAGTGAAGCCCACCTCCACTGCAATGACTCGCTAGCTAGTCTTCCTTCCTTTCAGCATCTCTTCTACTCAGTTCATATTATACACCCATGAATCTTCCTAAAGCCCTGTTCCCATGCCCACTAAGAAAGAGAAAAGCAGTCTCTGACATCTAGGCACTGGGCTGATACAACTAGACCCTGGCGGTGTTAGGAGCCGAGCTGGAAATCTAAGCTAGGCCATGACCTCCTCCTGTTAGACATCATCTCACCAGCTATCATCAGATAAGGTCACTCCATGACCATGATGAAGTGAGACCAAAACCAAGACCACTTCATAATTTTGTCTAAGCACAGAAACAAGTCACTGAGGAAACTACAGAGATCTACTCCAACCCCCTCAGTTAACATGAGTAGCTGGAGCTTCTTTACCTATTACAGCTCTAGCCAAACTCTAGTCTTCCCTCTTTCTAGATAAAGTTTATTAAGATAGTCAGTGTAGAATTAAGCCCGCTTTCTGACAGCACCTCTTCCAGAGTAAACCCCTTTTCCTTTAACCCCAAAAACTAACTAATTAAAGCCCAAATCCCATAATAAATCCTTTCTTGTGCCTCCTACTGAGACCCCCGATGGCTCTCTTGGGTGTGTGTTCTCCCTCACTGCCACAAGTAATAAACTCAGCTCGTTCAACAACACATGTGCTCCCAGTGGTCTTTGCCTGGGAGGCATTGGCGCCACTCTCTTACTCAAAATCCTGTAATCCCACCCTCTGATTTAAAAACCTAAGAGTTCTTAAGACTATTTAATATTAAGACCCACCAAATCTTCTAAGCCTTTTTCACTCTGTCCTTAGGTCACTCATCAAATCCCATTTTTCATTATTCTCTGGTATGACCTTCTGGATACCTCTCTCTCTTCTTCATCATGTTTTTTGTTTTTGTTTTTATTTTTAAGATTTGATCATGTCATTTCTATACTTTTCTCTGATTGCTTCCTCCTCTCATCCAGCCTGTAATAATAATTGAGCACTTACTGTATGCTAGGTGCTGTCCTGGAGATGTTTATGAATTTATTCACTGAGAACGGAAAAGGATTTCTTGAAGTAGGTGCTATTGCTATGCCCATTTTACAGATGAGGAAAACAGGTACAGGAAAGATAAATAATCTTCTCCAATTCACATCATAAGCGACAGTATCAGGAATAAGAAATATACTGATTTATCTTCCTAGTAAGTTTGTTGTAAGGATTAATAAGATAATGCAGGTAAAGGATTTAACATTGTGGGATTCTCAAAAGAGTTCTTGGTGCTTAACCTGGTTTTGAATCCCTGATTTGCTGCTAAAAACCTTTCTTTTGCAGTCCTCCTAGAGCATAAGGCCTGGGTATAATTACCAATATTAAGTACATTCTTAAGTGTGTCTTGCTTTAGCTCATTCATTCATAGAGAGGTCTGTTTGCTCCCAAATTCAAGCAGCCATTTGGAGCTTGTCTGAGTCACCTTTGCTTTATCAGCTAGAAAAGTCACATTAATTATCTGTTTATTGATCAAAAATGATCATAGTGGTTGCTCCAATCCAACATGCCTTTATTAAAGACTTACAGATTCAAATGCTAACATTCAAC